CCACAGAGACTTTTCAATGCTGCTGCATAACCTAAAGCATAGGTTCCCAAACTTGTTGGCTTACCGCCCACTTAGGCAAGATATTTCAACGCCCACTACACACAAAAAATAATTGAAAACAAGTGTTATTTACATTAACTTAACACAAAAAAATCACGAGGATAGAAAATTATATACAGGGTGTCCCACGGCTATGCCACATGGAGGGAAAGTACCTTAAATACTTAAAGAAGACTTCATTTTGATTTTAAAAACAATTCGAACTGCATTCAAAGATTTTTAAATAATCGCTTGTCTGAACCGGGAATCGAACCCGCAAAATGTGAAAAAAGACCACCTGTAATTTTGTTATACTGATCGAAAGCCTCAATCATAAGGATTGTTTTCTTCTAAATAACATAACATCTTAAATAAAAGGAAGACCATGAAATTGAAATTTAATTAAAATAATTAGGTACATTTATTTGCAACTTACAGTCAATCAATTTAAGTTATCAAATGTTCGAAATGTCTCCCATGTGTAGTATACAAATTCTCACTCTTTTCATAATTTCGCTTCCTGTTGATTTATTTATCTTTTCAAGGTGAATGTTTAAAATAATACGTCTAAGTTCAGTTTGTAACTCCTGCAGACTGTCATACCGGTTCCTGTAAACTAAATCTTTTACATATTCCCATAAAAAAAAATGTAACGGGGTTAGATCCGGGGATCTCGGAGGCCATTTAATTTGTCCATGAGTACCGATCCAGGTAGGAAAATGTTCATTACGAAAGTCTGTTCTCCGACTATTATGAGCCGGAACCCCATCTTGCTGAAGAATGAGACTTCGTCGTTCTGCATCGGGAAGATTATTAATCTCGCTCCTTAAATATCAAGTATTTCTAAATATTTTTCAGAGTTCAGATGCCCTACGTAAAAATGTATTAAGACAACCCGGTTTTTCACAATCCCACACCAACAGTTGAATGAAAAACGCACTTGATTATTAGTCTCGCGGATTCGTAAGGGATTCTGTCTGGACCAAATACGATTATTACACCGGTTGTACATACCATTGCTACTGAAGTTTGACTCGTCTGACCAAATAATGTTAGTCAGGAGATTTAGATTCTGACGGATGAGCCTCTCGATTTGGTGGCAGAAAATAAGTCGTCTTTCGGCATCACCCGGGCGTAATTTTTGAAGTAATCACCCTTCAACATAACTCTTAAATTTGTATTTTTTCAATATGCGGTGTATTTTGCTTTTTGAAATTCCAATTTCTTCTTCACCTTCCCTCACTGAATTCTTCGGGTTCGCTTCAAAGTAAATCAAAATGTCGAGTTCATCATTATTAACGTTTATCATTTGGTGGCTGCGGTACGCGACGATGAAATCGTCCTAATTTTTTCAAATTATCCATCAACCTTTTCAAAATAAACCGAGGTGGTGTTTCTCTATCGGGATACCGTTCGCGGTACCACTGGAAAGCTAGTGATATGTTTTTATGGTTCATATAGTATGCTTCCATTAAATCCAAATTATGTTGATACGCCATGGTAAGTAAATTCACACAACAATTGCAATGCAACAAATCGAGAAAGAAATTCACTAAAAAAACTAAAGAATACATAGACGTTTGAAAATGGAACACACTTTCAAATTATTATTTTATAAACATCCAGCCGCTTTGTGATTGTGAAGTTCTTTGTGAATTTCCTTATTATTTTATCAAGCACTTTTAATAGGGAAATGATATGTGTTTCTCAAGTTTGTACTCATTAGTAATACTTTGAAATGATAATGTATGTTGTTATGAGCGCGGCATAGTCAAAGAAAAAGTTATCCATTTTCGTGAACAAAATTTCAAATTAAAGTGAAATTTCATAGTCTTCCTTTTATTTAAGATGTTATGTTATTTAGAAGAAAACAATCCTTATGATTGAGTCTTTCGATCAGTATAATAAAATTACAGGTGGTTTTTTTTTTCACATTTTGCGGGTTCGATTCCCGGTTCAGAGAAGCGATTATTTAAAAATCTTTGAATGCAGTTCGAATTGTTTTTAAAATCAAAATGAAATCTTCTTTCAGTAAAATGTTCTATCAATGGTTTTTAAGGTACTTTCCCTCCATGTGGCATAGCCGTGGGATACCCTGTATATGTAGTGTAGTTTATACAGATAATTCAGGTTTTTTTTAGAATGCGGTAATACCTCTTGAACAGCATCAACGCCCCCCGATTGGACGTAGGTAGTTAAGCAAAAAGCATACAATCCAACATATAAACGTAAATAAATATCTCTGAAGTTACATGACATTATAAATTTTGAAAATAAAACAAGAGTTAGAACACTTTTAAACTTCAAACCGCCATATCTCGAAAGTGACTAGATGTGCATTGGATCCTTTTGTTTAACTACGTCCAATTTTATTTCACCCGAAACCAGAACCGAAGCAAAACTGTTTTATATCCACCAAATGATTGTCGTTTACAGCCTTATTGTATGTATTGGTTCGTTCCACTTTTGGTCACAATTACAGAAGGTCACAAGCGCTTCAATCGCTCCTGCAAATGGCATAGGGAAAATAGGTCAAGGGCAGCCTCTGGCCCTTCATTCCTTTACATAGTCTAGTCCTTGCGGATGTTTTTAATGTTTTTAATGTTTCATGAGTTCATTTTAGTGATATTACTAATAAATTTCATGACACCAAATAGCAAGGATTGTTCCCTTAGTTCCTTATTATCGTCACCGCTAGGACTTCTTTCGTGTAATATATTTCAATCGGCACGACCTAACAGACGGGTGCTTGAGATCGAACGCCGTTTGATGTAACATTAATTGGTCGAAAACGTTTGCTAGATTGTCCATGTCGAAAGATCATTTGCTCGATCAACAGCCAAAAAAGTCTCTCTCTCTCTCTCTCTCTTAAAAATGTAAAAAAATCTCGACATTTTCAAAAAAAAGTTTGTCACGGAGTAACTTTCCTTGAATTGCTTATTTTGACAGATGACACCGCCATGTGCATGGCAGATGACACATCATGATACGATTTGACTATGAAAGAAAAGGTGAACGGATTTCGGATGGGGAACGTAAACTGCATGAACAGTGAATTGTTTTTGTAAGGTCATAAGTACGAATTTGACAGGCTATCCAACTTACGGGCCTAAACAGGATTGCTATAAGAGCTCATAGTAGGCCCCCAGGAGTAGAAAAAATATTACGTGTCCCACTACTGGCCACAGATCTTCTCTAAAGGTTTAGAAAATAATCCGTAAGTAAAGTCATAGATACAGATGAGTTGTTATGGCCGAACCTTTGAAACATACCTTAGAGACGTAAAAATCTTACAAATAACATTTTTTAAATATTTAGTAAGTGGTAAAATCAAGTAAAGTTGTAAGGGAGACTATTTTTTTTTATAATACTAACTGACGGGACGAACAAGTCGTGAACCTGGTGGTAAGCGTTACGTCTGTCCCTAACAGTTCCAGTGTCACTCAGATCTTTACATCACAAAACATCTGAGATGTATTGCCACTGCGCCCGACACCCTGAGACATAAGTTGACAAGTCCCATGTGCCTATAATTTCACCAGCACCCTTAACACTTCCAAACCAAAACGCAGTAATGTTCACATTACTGCTTGGCGGCAGAAATAGGTAAGGCGGCAGTATTATACAACTGAATTTAAAATTAATGTAATGAACAAGTGTAACACTAGGCGATGTCCAAAAATAAATAATTATTATGGTAAAAGAACAAATAGACATCTCCTACCAATTATATTTAATAAATTCTTGAGAGGTAGTTAATTGTTAAGTATGTGCACATTGAAGAAAAAATTAAAATTTACACTATCGGTTTTGAAAAGACTTATTGCACACTAAGTGACAACGAATAATCCTAAATGTATATAATGTATATATTAAAGTATGTTGCCGCATACGCAGAAATAAATAAATCTCGAACCGAAGTGGACAGTTGATTTTCATACTACTTTGCAGGCCTTGGCCGAAAAAAAGGAGCTCGGTCCGTAAATGACAAGCTTTCTGTGTTCGTTTTTTGAAAGTAATGCAAACATTTCCAAACATGTTTGAGAATCAATGTGGTTTGTGTTGAGAATAAAAGCCGTAGCTATTTCTTCGACTAGCTGCCGAAGGACTGGCAGTACCTAAATGTATATGTTGTACAACGTATATTTTATTTATTGTGTACAACAAGGGTACGAATTTATAGGTTAATTTACGCGGGTCCCAACTGAAAATCAGTGCTGGAAACGCGTTGCGTGTCCTCGTGTATACTGAGTTAGTGACCCTTTTGTTACAGCAGCTGGTGCCTGGTTTTGATTTCTATTATGTACATTTTTATGTTTGTTTTTGCGATGTTATTTTTTTATTGCGTACTTTTCTTTTTTGTAGTTGTTATTGTTTATTATGGTGTCCTTTATGATAAGAAAACTTAAATTGTAATTGAAAACATTGACTTACAAATAAATGGACGACGGGTGTAATACAAAAACCACGAAAAAAATGTCCCAAGTCAACCTATTTAAACGCAGTGACATGTACAGGAATATGAAAAAGCTAAAACGTTGAATTTAAATTGTAATGTCATCGCAGTACTGTCTAATTTTGCTTGCTTCGCTGTCAGTGGAACAAACGAAGACTAAAGCGTGAATGACGCTCTGTATACGATTTTAACGCCCTATAAGTTCCGACACTTTTTAGCGCGGACCCGACGTCCATATAATTGTACGTCAATGATTGAAAATTACTTTTTGCTTCTTCTATTACTCTACTAATTTAGAGCTTTTGCGCACGGACGTATCTCCGAATCCAAGACATGATGGTCCAAAATGTCACTGGGATAATTTTACCTCTTAGTGAACAGGCGACATCCGAAGTGGGTCCGAGATTTCTAGATTTGTGTAGTCTCGGATTCGGAAGTAATACGAATCGGATGCAGTGCACCTCCTCCTTTTTTGAAATCGGAAAATGTCAAAGAAAACACCCACCTTTCGTAGAAGTTTTGGCCTGTTGTCAAGTCCTTCGTTGTCATTGTCATCCTTGCTGGATTCGTTGTTCCTGGTGTTCCTAAAAAGAAGGTAATTTGTTATTCATCGATAATTTTTTACTTAAACTATAACATCATATTCTGTTCAATTGTTATTTTTATTTATAAGTCTTTAGAATACCTTGTGTCATTCAATATAACTTGTTATGTATAGATATAACGCATTTGTACGTATGCAGTATTTACTTGTTTCTTTTTGTATCATAAGTACATTGGATTTGGTTTAAATTGTAAAGTGTACATAACTATTTTTTTATTATATTTTTTTGTTTTTTTTTTCATTAGCTATTTATTATTGAAATACGTCACCACTCCTAAATTTTTTGTAGTAATTAGAGGTTAACGGTGTCGGTAACACAATCATTACTAAATATTTAGTAACACAATCATTACTAAATATTTAGTAAAAAAAAAGTTATAAGTTATGATTATGAAACTATGAATTATGAGACTTGAAATCACGTCCATGCTGCATCGTAGCAATGCTCTAACCATCTGAGCCACGTGTCCAGTTACCAAGTTGTCGAAAATCTCCTATGTGTTTTTGTTATAGATCTTTGTACCTACTGACTTTCGGCATTAGTCGCCGCTATTCATTATCATAACAAAACTAGTGGAGTCAACCGTGACCATGGGACCTGTAAAGGGCCCGAAACGTCGGTTTGTTTGAAAAAACAAATATACGCGATTTAAATCCGGAAAAATAGTTTCATTCCTATGTATAACAATCGCGAAAACCTAAGAACTCGATAGTGGAGTTATTTCACAACAAAAAAATCTCAATAAATACCTAAATAGTTATGTTGTAATTCTGTCTACTGTTTGTTGACTCAAATCAATTTAAAAAAAGCAACCGTGGTAGCCTAATGGTTTGACCTACCGCCTCCCAAACAAAGGGTCGTGTGTTCGAATCCGGGTCGCACCTGTGACTTTTTCGGATTTCATGTGCGAAATTTAAATTTGAAATTGGAAATTTCACATGAAGTTTTCGGTGAAGGAAAACATTCTGAGAACCTGCACACATCTGAAAAACAATTTAATGATGTGGGTGAAGTTTCCAATCCGTATTAGGCCCGCGTAGGAACTACAACGCAAGCCCTCTCATTGTGAGAGAAGGTTCTGTGCCTAGGTGTGGTTTATATTTAGGGTTGGCGGACAACAAATTTATAAAGTAACAAATGAATTTGACCTTTGTGCTTTATCTGGTAGATGTATTAATTTAAATGAATGATGTTGGATTTTGACTTATGTGCTTTAGTCCGCCGACCCTAGATATATCACCAGGGTGAGTAGCCCGAGCGGGTATCGGTGTATGAGGGTGCATACAAAGGTTTTGAGTGGGTAGGCCTCTGAGCATCCATCGGACGAGCTTGTATCGGACCCACGGAAGACAGTCCCACATAACCCACGCCATTTCATCGCCCGTGGCGGGGTATGCGTAACGTACTTTCCCGTGTATAAAAAAAAGTAGGGACTATATACAGCCTAACTATATTTTTAATTTAATAGACAATAAGTAATTTGAAATTTCACTTTTCGTAAATCGTCATCTTCATTTATTTGAATTCGTCACACGAGCCCGCCGTTCTCATCAACTGAAAAGTAGATCATGTAAAACTGCTCTACTTCAAAAGAGTGTAATAGTAATGGCTACGAAGGTATATAACAAACTTCCACTTGAAATTAGGAATTGCAACGATTGTGCAGAATTTAAGAAATTATTATTTAATTACCTAAATGATAGGACATTCTATAATATTGAAGATTTCTTATAAAATTTACATTTCACATTATTAAATTTGTTATTGATTATTTTACTATTGTTATTATGTTTCATTAGTATTAGGTTGCATTAATTGGACTGCATGATTATAATATTATTACAAATTATTGCATGAGAATTACTAAAACTAAGAAAACTTTGTATGCCATAAGGCGGATCACAGTGATTCAAAATTCATTCTTGTAACAACTTTATAACCTGTGTATCACAAAGAAATAAATTATTTGATGATTTGATGATTTGATAAGTCAAAATATACAGGTAAGGTACAATAAAAGCTTAAATACAAGAAAGTAAAACTTGGATTAAATTATATGAATAAAATTGGGTCCCCGCGGCAACGTGGCTATTATAACATACCTACATGTAATGTTTCTCTGTGTGTTTGTTCCGTATACGTGCCATTATTACGCATCCGATGACGATAAAACTCTCGTGAGTTCTTATGCCCACACCCGCGAAAGTTTCTGCAGTATTAGCAGTAATTAATACTGGTAAGCTTCTTTTGAAAGAGTTTATCTTGGGAAGTACTGCCACCTTACCTATTTTTCCCAAGCAGTATTGTAATCATGACTCTTCGAAGAATGCTGGTGAAACTACAAGCGCATGAGACTTGTGAACTTCGTGTCTGAGGATGATAGGCACCAATGGCAGCACTCCTCAGATCTTTGCGATTTAAAGCACTCAGTGGTACTTCAACTGTTATGGACTGGCGTGTCACTTGCCACCAGGTGGGCGACTTGTTCGTCACTAGGTTCGATTCCCGTGCCGGGAGAAATATTTGTATCACCTACATTTATTTCTGTCGTGAGTTTGGGTGTAATTAGTGATTGTCTATGTGTGTGTGTCCAAGGCACCCGCGACACAGGGTTACCATAGTGCGGGGCTATGTTGAGTGTGAGCTTTATTATTATTGCTTATCCGTTATATTTTCATTGCCTTCATCTATGTGCCAAGTTTTATTGAAATCGGTTAACAGAAAGTATGTGGACCCTTAGAAGTGGAATATTCTATATATTTTAGCCGTGGGGCGACGGCTTAAGAATACATTGTCGCCTCCCCATACATGCCCGTGGGGGTCGTAAGAGGCGACCGAGGGCGTCACAAGTGTCCATCTGCTTAGCATTGTGGTAGGCTCTGTGCCGACTGGATAGCGACCACAGTACACACGGCGGAAAACCCTCCACAGTGAAACGCTTTTGCGAATCGCGTTCAGGGATCAGTTGGTGTACATCCAGTGCATTTGGCCAGACCGGCAAAATGATAGTGACGGAGTGAAGATATTTGTGTTTTCCATCCGTTACTCTCATCTCTGGACTGTATTCGCACTTTCCATCAGGCGCGGTGCAGTCATTTTGTCGAGTCGCAATAAAAAAAAAAAAAAAAAAAAAATTTTCATCAAATTTGAACGAGACCACTACAGAGGTACCATCTTTCCAACAAAAATAAGAATCATCGAAATCGGTATACAAATGTCGTAATAATCGCGTAACATAAACACACACACACACACACACAAACAATCGAATTGAGAACCGATTCCTTTTTCGAAGTCGGTCAAAAAGAACGAGTTCAAATATAAATCTACAAGTAATAGTAAGTATACCTAAATATCTACTAAAATATCTACGACGACATTCAAAAGAATCCGATAGATAAGTAAAGAGATAGAAACCCATCTATCTACTCGATTCAGGAAATAAAGTAAAAGCCTTACAAAGAAATCCGTCCGTGTCACCGCCCTTGAATCGACCTTCGTAACACAATCGCGTGGTTTCGCGTGCAAGTTGAAAGGAGGAAGTCTAAAGAAACTCCCACTCATCAAGAGTTAATCAATCTTGGAAAGTTCAAACGACTAATTGTTAAATTGCGGTTCAAGTTGGAAGTAAGGGAATATTGTTTTAATAATGTTTTAACAATTACAACTTTTTTATAAAAAAAAGACTTGAAAAGTTCGTGGAATTACACATATCTGACAAGTTTTCTTGAAATCGTTACCAGAAATTGCGAAGCCAAATTTATCCCCTAGTTTGCCACACTTACCTATTCTTCAAATTTAAATGGCACCAATACTGAGGTAGCACCTCTCCAATAAAAAAAGTATTATCAAAATCGGTTTACAAATCTCGTAATATACACAGTCGAATTGGGAACCTCTACCTTTTTAACCGACTTCAAAAAAGGAGGAGGTTCTCAATTCGACTGTATGCTCTTTTTTTTGTTTTTTTTTTGTATGTATGTTACGCGATAACTCCGGTATTTGTGAACCGATTTTCATGATTCTTTTTTTGTTGGAAAGGGTGTATTTCCCATTTCATTTTGAAGAAAATCATCCACCTCAAAGGGTGGCTGTCCGCGCATGAAGATTCATTTTTATAAATAGCGCCTAACTTTAATTTAGGAGCAATTACTTTTAGCAATCATTTAGTTCATTTTGCTATTTCTCCAATTCAAGGCGTTTTTCTCTCGATATACTTTGAGTAGTGTCGTAGTGAGAACCTATTTTTATTATCTCCAGTATCAAGTCGTGTATAGTGGCAAACTAGGGGATATTTCAATGAAACTTAGCAAATAGACGTAATTCCACGTACTTTTGAGGTCGGTTTTTTTTAGTACTCTGTACTGAGATTATTTGAAATCAATTGAAAATTGTTTTCATGCCTTAGCCTTTTCTATGATATGTAAGTAAGTAAGTGACGGGACGAACAAGTCGTGCTTCTGGTGGTAAGCGTCACGCCTGTCCATAGCAGTTGCAGTGCGACTCAGTACTTTAAACCGCAAAGGTCTATGGGATACTGCTTCTGCGTCACCCTCATACATTGACAAGTTCCGTGTTCTTATTACCCTTTACCCTTCAAAACCGGAACGTAGTAATGCTCACATTACTTGGCGGGAGAAATAGGTTACGTGGCAGTACCTACTTTTCTGGTCAAACTCTTTCACTGCTACTCTGAATTATAGCTCTTTGTATGCTAGCGATTTTTTTATATCTTCAACTCACATTCACCGTGAGCGATTGAATAATCATGTACCCTGATTCTCTCTATTGAAAAGAAAACAATAACGGGCTGTGGGAGCTATATAGACATTATTGTCTTTTCCCTTATTCAGACTGGCAACCAAATGCGCTAATTTCAATGCCACAGCTAAAGGTAAAACATAAAGAATTTTTTTCACCTCACTAGCTCGGAAAGGCTTTCTTTGTCATTAAAAATCTGCGCGCAAAAGAGCGTTTTT